AAAAAAAAAGGCACATTGGGAAAGAATGTTGGAGGTTCAAATCAATCTCAAGGGGTGAACAAAAGAATCAACTTGAGAAGGAATGTCGAAGATTCGCATCCAACCTCAAAGCTAATCGAAGAATTATTCCTGTGGGAAGAGATGTGGCTCTATATGTAGAACCATCCAAACCTCGTATGCACCAGACAAAAGTCTGAGAAGAGTGTGGTTCTATAGAGCCAACTAACCTCTTCCACAAGAGGAAAAGGACCCAGCTTCAGACAAGTGCAGCATCTGTGTTTTCTAAGAACGATGTTGTCTTTAAAATACCACGATGCATAGTATTTCTTGAGCATCTGTGTTTTCTAAGAACGATGTTGTCTTTAAAATACCACGATGCATAGTATTTCTTGAGCATCTGTGTTTTCTAAGAACGATGTTGTCTTTAAAATACCACGCTAAGACAAGTGCAACATCTGTGTTTTCTAATTTTCTAAGACGGTCAATAGGAACTCCTAGAGCTAGATCCTAGGCTCCTAAGGAGGAGAAGAGAAGACCTCACAAAAATGAGGTCAACAGTAGTATTCACCACATTTTCTATGAAACCCAAACAATATAAATACTTGCTGACAAATACATGAATGAACAATATAATATGAATGCTATTAAACAAAAAATGATGTAAGTAAATGATTGAAACCGCACACACAAGATATTAACGTGGCTCGGCCAACTCTCAGGTCTGTTTCCACACCTAGCTAACACCCATGTTATGATTATCACTAATCAAAGTATGCTATAAAATCCCTCATTAATGGTGGAGAAGCCAATTCACTCATACTTTCCTTCTGGATGTTAGAACCCAAATATCCACTCTATTAGATGAGTGCAATCTGTTCTCTTTTATAAGATATCCTTTCAGATGCTATCAAGCTTTGGAGATGAATTGGATGAGTCCACCTTTTACTTTCTCACCCACACAAGGTCTACAAATTCTAACTGCAATAATACAATGAAAACTGGAAACAATAAATGAACAACCTATTACATTTTATGGTTTAAGAAAGGTATCACCGAAGTAATTTAGATTTGAAGACTGAGTTTGATGAACCTTTGTGAAGTCAAATAAATTTATGAGAAAGTTGATGTAATGAGAGATAAAATTTTGAGAAATTGTTTTCGGTAGTTATTTCCTTACAATCCACAAGATATTTATAGAGAAGCTTGCATTTCATTTTGGGACATATTCTAGCTGTTTGGGAGACAAGCATAATGATATTAAAACATGAAAATTTCCAGTATGCTTACATTTGATTTTGGAAAATTGATTGAAAAAGTAATTTTGCAAAATATATGCAAAATCAATGAACCTTTTATAATTACGAGTTTAAAAATTGCTCCAAAATCAACGGTCTTTTTGAAGTTTGAGTGCGTATAATTATTATATATTCATTGAATATTTTAACATAAAATCATGTTGAATAATATGAACTAAAAATGAAATGAAAATTTCTCGAAAAGCATACCAATTAAATTTAAATGTATTGTAGGATATAAAAGGCTTTGTATTTTATATGTTTTAAAAAGCATTTTGACAGTTTCAAGCTAAGATTTTATTTGTGAATTTGTATCCTACTTTTATAATTTTTAAAATTTCTTTAACTAATCTCTAGACTTGTGTTGATCATCCTTGAGGCTTTGATAATGATCTAACTCATTCATGTACATAAAAAACTAAGGACACCTAAACACTGCGAGTCATACACTTGGATCAGAAACTTGTTGCAATGTTCCTCTCAAATTTTTCATGAATTATATACCCTTGTTCTTTATCCGCCACGTGACAAATGGTCTTAGTGAACATTGAACTCATCCTGATCATCTCTATGGTTGCTTCCAAATCACAAACCTATAAAGAACACTTAGCAAACCACTATTGGACACTACACAAAGTTTGTTATCATGAAATTAAATGTTGAGATAGATACAGGCTTTATAATCATCATGATATTCTGCAAATTTACCCAAATTTAATTTTATGTTTCTTAAATTTTTACTTGTAATTTGGTCTTAACTTTTTAACTTACATTTTATAGGGATTAGAATGGAAAGAGAAAGCTGAGAAACTTGAATTAGAATTACAACAATGTTATAGAGCTCAGTCACGATTGTCTGAACAACTTGTGGTAGAGGTGGCCGAATGTAGAAGCTCAAAAGCTGTTGCTCAAGAGAAAGAGTCATTAATTGTCAATCTGCAGAATGAAGTGACTCAAGCAAGGTTAGAAGTCTTCAGTCAATACCTTTTCTGATAGAAAATAATATGCTAGTCTCATGCGGGAGAACACTGTAGGGAAGAGAACTCAAAACTTAGGGAGTGTTTAGATGGGAAAACTAAAGCCTTGGATTTGGCTGTGTCTGAAAACCAGTCACTTAAAGTACAGTTAGAAGATGTGATGCAAAAACTAAGAGAAGCAGAGGCTGAGAGCAAGAACTTGATTGATCGTTGGATGCTAGAAAAAATGAAGGATGCAGAAAAACTAAATGAGGTATTTTATTTTCATTATGCCCCACCGGTTAATAAATCCGAGAAATTAAATGCTCCCGGGCGTTATTTTCATTTACTTTGTTTTAACAAGCATACTAGAAGAATATGTTCTTTCTTTGTTCCAAACTAGTAGTTCATTTCCTTAAAAAAGATATGACCAGGAAAATTCTGCTCTAACTCAGATTTTTTGGTATGTAATCTTGGTTCTTTATTAAGATATCCTAGAAATTATACCATAATGATAATGATATTGAGGTCTTATATTAAACTAGCAATGGAAAAATCAATAACTTCATTACTACAAAAATAATATTTACATTTATTTGAATTGGAGCTCGGTGTGCAGTGCTTTATTTTCTGATTATCTATTGAATGTTTTCAAATCTGAGAAGGGAATATGATAAAATCGCCTCGTTTAGGTTGGTGAAAGTTATACCCACTTTACTATTGCATGCTTGGGAAAGTTCATTAATATGATGACACCAAAAGCTGTCTTTCAATTCAAACTTAATCTCTTGAGATGATGAAAATTTGATGACAAAGTCAGCTAGTGCTTGTCAATTGATTGCTCTACCTGGTAAGTATTGCAAATGGTATTCGGTTAACTTGAGCAACTATTTGATTAGCCTAGCCAATTGTTTGGGTTGAAGTAAGATTTGTTCAATGTCTTGGAAATAAGGCCTTCATCATTTCATGTCGACAATGAGAGTGACTACAAGCTTTGCCATGAGCAAAATAATTTAAATTAGCCCCAGTTCACATCTTGCTTGTGTAGTAAGCTTGCTATTGCTTTATTGCATTCTTTTTGACCAATATAAACCTGATCACTCTCTTTCTCATTTTGTGATATAAAAGCAGTGGTTTCCTCAGCTTTAGACTACATTTGATTAGTGGCAATGTTGAATATTTCTCGACTAGAAATGAATTTTCATTTTTTTTTAGCTTTATTTATTTGGTGCATTTACATACATAGTACGCAATTGATATGTATTTACATATGGAAGCCCTAAATATTCATATTTTCACACATTACACTAAAATCTTTAATATATATATATATATATATATAGATATATATATAAGAAAAAAAACACTATGACCACTTTTTAGAAGTGAAATACACCTTTTCGTAGTTTTAAAACACCGAAGTACCATGTATGTATGAAAGTCTAGGCTTGAGATGTGTAAATACATAAGAATTGTGTGCTACATATGTACATTTCCTTTTTTGTATGGACCCTTTCAATTCCTTAAAGAATGACACATATTTTTCCTCAGATTAATAATTGAACCAATTAATTTTTGCCAGCTTACAGGCCTTTTTGATCAAGTGAGGCTCCATCCAGGATTTATTCCTTGTGGTGAAATGAGATAATCTCATAATGTTTTTAAACTAGGCTCCAAAACATGTTTATTAGAACTCAGCTGCACATACTTATTTGTTTTTCTAAGGCTTGACTGTTCAATAATATATCATTCGAAGTTCTATGCTTCATTTTTTTTTGGGATCAGAATATATTATCCATGAGCTAGTATATAGGTCCAACATCTTCAATCTAAAAAGCAGTCTTATCCATATCAATTAAGTGCACTTGGATTTAACGGTATCGAAAGAAATTGTCAAGAAAACTAAGCATAGAGTACTTGATAGTCAAGTTGACTAGGGTTTTAATGATGAACAAGGGGTAATTGTTGTTGGACATTATTCATTGAGATCTATGCAGTTGACTTATATTCTCCATTTGTCATTGTTCTTTTTAACCAATTCAATATCACACTGTTGTAGATCAACTCAAGATAATATACCTCCTGATATATAGTATTTCAGTAAGCTTATCGGTCATGTCTGATGAGTTGCTAATCTTATTAGTGATATTCCTCATCTCTTGTTTTATTGGCCTGCCAATCGAGCATACTTGCAAGTATTGACATGGTACTTGGGTTATCCTCAAGCAACTTGTATGACTCCCATGCAAAGCCATCAATGCTATCTTGTAAAATAATTAGTTTTGCTAAAATTACCTTTAATATTGAGATTTTATTTGATAAGTTAATTTACTAAAATTAGCACATTGACTTTGATCTTATGGCACTGTGACATGCAATGGAGCATGACAGCATTGTGCTAGATGATTGGTCATCTGAAATTTCTCTTCTACCTGGTGTTGTGGCACTGTATCTCTATAGTGTTGTGGCACTTATTTCGGGTGTTGCGACATATTACTCTCGGGTTAGGTTTTCATATTATTTAACTGATGGGCGCTGAAAGACTCTCTCTTCACAACATTGCGGCTTCAGAACTAGCGCTACACCACTCTAAATAACATTGTGGTGCTTTATTCTCTATTTCATAAGCACAAATTGAGCCTAATCCAACACTGTGATGCTACTGGTAGTACTAGAAGTTTTTCATGCAAGTCACCAAACTTTTTATTGGGAATTCTTATCAAAATAATTTAATTATTGTGGATGACTCAGTTAGGAGAGTAGATATTTTAGATTTGACTTATGTTAAAAAAGGTAGAGGTAGACCAAAAAAGACTAGGGCATATTGTGTAAAAATGTTCTTAATTTATTAAAATAAAATGAAAATATGACACGCAAAACGAAACAATGGAGAAAAATGATTCATCTAGCTTAGTGGAATTAAGGCTTGTTAGTGTTGGAATCAACTAAGGCGCATAGCTTGAGAGCATAGTGAATTCTACATTGTATTGCATAATTGAGCGATCACTATACCAACTGAATAAATTTGCTCTATATTTGCCTTCTTAGAGACAACAGTATGAACCAGTCTTGAAGTGCCCACAAATTACAGTTCATGTTTGACATTTTGAAATGCGTATTAATGTTTCATGGTTGGTGACACCAAAACCAGCCAGAGCTCTCTAAACAATTTAACAAATTAATATTTTATTAAATGAATATTTGTTTTATTAAATTGTTTAAAAAAATATTTCATTCATGTCTAAAATTTTAAAAATCTGAAATGGTATCTCAAATAGAAGGAAAATGACTAACATATAAAATTACATTTTTAAAGAATTTTAATTGATACGAAATATTAAGCGAAAACTTAAGTCATATAAGATTGCTCCCAGATGATACTGACAGAGGATGCGATGTACTCGTGCATGTTAAAGAAAAAAATAAATGTGTACATTCAGGTATAATTTTTTAGGGTACTATATGACAAGATCATGTTAGCACAAATCTCGGAGTGAAAGATTAATAGGCGACAAAATAAGAGGGACCCATGATCAAAGCCTGCTAGGATTTGGTCAAACACGAGTTCATCTTATTTGAGTGAAGATCAATACTGAATCAAGAGAAAGTCGTCTCATAATTTGGTCGAGTCCATCCTTTTTGTGTATGAGGGCCGATTGACATAATTAGATGGACGAACGAAACAACTCTCCTTCTGGCGAAGAAATAAAATGGATTTAAGATTGAAGCTGTGCTACAAGTATGTTCTTTTTCTGAAGACCATCTATATGATTCCCATGTTGTTTGGCCCGCCAACACCGAGCGAATTAATCTACTATAAACAGGGCAAAGGCCAATATGTTTGCCCGATCAGTCTATTATTAAATGTATTTATAAATCTATGTTGTATAAAAGACCTTACTGCTCTCATTATCCCTCCAGAAATATGGGTTTTAGATGTTTTCATATATCTCCATTAACTAGAAATAGGGGATCATTTATGAATAGTGGATTAAATGCTCTCATTTTATTGTTCACTTCATGCTTATCTTCTGCTTTCCTCTTCTTGCATACTGAAGCGGGCGCTATGGAGGACCGGCATGGAGAGTTTGGTCCCGCTTTGTCGGACTGGCTGGTCCCCAAGGGGAGGGCTGCCGCCCCTACTCCTTTCCCTTTCCTTTCTCTTCCGCTCAATCTTTTCTTTCTAGTACTTTCCTATTATAAGTACTTAATTCTAAATTCTGATTTTTTTTAACTCATGCGCCTAATCTAAAATTCTGTTAGTACTTTCCTATTATAAGTCCTTATCAATTCTAAATTACGATTTATTTTACTCATTCTTGCCTAATCTGAAATTCTATTAGTTTATTCATTTTTCTCTAATTTGAATTCTTATTATTTTTATTCTTCTTTCTTATTTTAAACATTGCCAAAATAAGCCCCAGTTCTAATTATAAATAGGGGGTGTTATGCTTCAGAGATTTTGGGGTCTTCGCTGTGTTTGAATTCAAATTTTCTGTGTGGAGTCATTTTTCCTTTTGTAAAGCTGTATCCAAGAAGGTGGCGGTGCCCCGACTATATTCTACTTCGAAGTGGTGTTGTTTCTTCAATTTTCATCTTCCTTACGCCTTCTCCTCCACTCACTTTAGCAGTCGACCTCCCGTTCATCCCCTCGCCCAACCGCCCTTCCCCATCAACATAATCTTGCTGTCCAGCTTCTCTGACTTCCTCCTAGTACTTAGCTGGCCTCCCTCCCATAGCATACACTTGCTGTCCAGTTGCTCAGACTTTCTTCCAGTACCAACCAACCCCTTCAACACGGAATTACCTGCTGTCCAGCTCCAACAACCTTCATCGCAACCCCGATCACTGCTATTCTGTAGGAAAACCTGCTTTGTAACTATTCATCATTGCTGTCCCTGTAGTTCTCTACCTTCTCCTCGCTGCCACCAGCATTCCTTTGCTGCTGCCACCACCGCAACCATCCTAACCCACCTAGCCAACCTCCACCGCTCTTTGAATACACCTTAGAGGTATTTGCTTATGTTGTTTATGTTTTGTGTTGTTATTTCTGTTGTCTGGTGTTGTAACCCTCACTCTCTATTAATAAAAGTTTGCTTTGCGTTTTTCATCGAAATTCCTACTAGTTTCGGTATTATTTTGTATCAGAGCTAGCCCAACCTTAGTTTTATCTTAGTTTCCTAGCGTCCGTCATAACCCACAAAATTTCCTTCTTACTGCCTAATACTCTTTCCACTTACACATGTTCCTAAGCCTAATTCGCCTCACTGATTC